GGAACCAAGTTGCGTGATTCCAAATTTCTGTCAAATTGAAATTTGGGCGATGAGAAACTCTCCCTATTTGGTAAATTCTTGACATTTCCATAAATAATATAACTAAGAATCATATCCATTCGTTGTAGAAATATGTAAACATCAATTTTCATAACGATTTCATTGCAAGGAACTAAACAAATAAATAAATAAGTCAAACAAAATTTATTTTATTTATAAAAGCAGCGGAAAAATTTGCCCTTTACAATGCAAAATCCATTGAAAAACTATGTAAAAGGAAAATTTCTAACAACTCTATCATAACTATCTAAGCTCAAAATCTAATCTTCAAGTCCATGCGATCAAGATCCATTTCTTGTGATTAGATTTATCTTGCTCTTTCACCAAGCTTCCTTTCTTTTCACCGATCCTGCAAAACATTCAAATGCAATCTTATCACATCATGTATTTGAATCAATGAATAGGAACTTAACGGAGTTAGATAGTGGATTTTACCTGAAGCGCAACCATACACTTTGACTCTCCCATCTTCTGGACTCTTCGGGCTCTTTGGGCAGACTTGTATCCAACGCCCTTTCTTTTGGTAGCAAACGCGGGTCGGTTCTCCTAGAACGTCCTCGGAAGCATGGTCGGTTGACTTTCCCAAGAAATATGCTCCATTGCTTCGCCAAATCATTTCTGATTCAGCAGCAATGAGCATGTAAGTTAGCTCAATGAGGTTGTCGTCATGATCCATCATATAATACTTTCTTTTGAACTCATTATATGATTCAGGGAGTGATTGCAGAACCCAGTTCACAGCCAACTCATCGGGAAATGACACACCCAACATAATCAACCTATCGATGTGTGATTTCATTCCTAGAATGTGGGCACACACGGATTTACCATTTTCATGTTTCATTTCCAATAGGGCCTTAGTGATATTGAACCTTTCAATTCTTCGATCTTGTGGGTTGGGGAGAACAATTGGAGGAGGTGGAGGAAGTGAAGCATGATTTCTTGTTCCTCGATCAAATCGTGGAATACCATCTTCATGTGGAATGCTTGTTCCACGGGATTTGGGAAGACCATAGTTGTCGAACTTTGACATCTACAAAATGGGAGAAACTAATTCAAGTTAGTTGATTGATTGAGTCCTTAGTAAATCACCCAAATGAGATACTAAGGCTAGGACCCAACACAATATTCTACAACCTAGAAAAGGGATGCCGTAATCTAGTTGCAGAATATTTGAAGGTAAGTGAATGACGATTCACTAATTTCCACCATGAAAAACGAAAAGGAAATTTAAGTTTTAAATCTATGAAAACTCCTAGATCCTTTGAGATTCATTGAACATTTCAATGGCATGTTTAAATCTCGATATGCCCCTCTTGTTTGTGACTGGGATGCCGAGGATCCCAAAGCGGGTGTGAATAACCATGCAAACTTACATGGTGCCCTCACATGTTACAGTCACCTATTCGATGTGCCCGTAAACCACACACGCTCCACCAAACTATGACAAACATTGAGTCACCCTTTGCTACCTTTCTTAGAACCATTTAGTGTGCTGGTAAACCACACACGCTCCACTAACGTCTTCGCAAGGGCACAAAGTGTAATTTCATGGAATTGCATCAATTCACTTTTGCCTAAGTGACTAAGATTGGGAATTTGAAAAACATTTACTTACTTTGTATTTCATTATACTTATAATGTAAGGTTTCATCCTATTCTACCCGTTCGGCTAATGACCCTCCACTAGTCAAGAGTGCGGTGGCTAAGAGTGGATACCATTCAATCGCCATATTATAGGCAATTTCTTAAACACCCCTTATAGACCAGCTTTGTGAATGAGGCCTACTAACGGTAAGACTGACTTTTACTCATACATACATATATATATATATATATATATATATATATATATATATATATATAATGTTAGACTTTTAATGTTATATATAGTATAGGGTTCATTTTACACTTTTAAAATACTAGGTGGTCAAATTTAACAATTATACTTTTAATTCAATTAAATTGTAAACCTAAACTTTTATGGATTTATTCAACCTCTTGTAATTATACTCCTTAATTAATTAATAAAACCATAAGGGTGTGATTTGAACTTTTCAAAACATTACTAGGGTTTTAGAATTTAACATTCCTAAATTAAACTTTTAATCAACTTTTAAATTCCAAAACTTGAGGGCAAGTTTTGAAACACTTCAAAGCATTTGGATTTAGGATTTGAATATACATCACAATTAAACTACTAATCAAAATTTAAATTCCAAAACTTGAGGGCAAGTTTTGAAACCTTTTTCAAAACATTAGGGTTTTAACTATTTAAATTTCAAAACTTCAAAACTTTTGAGTTCAAATTTAAACTATAAAACCTAAAGGGGAAAATATGAAACTTTTCATAACAACAAGGATCAAATAACAAATAATTCAAATTAACATTTGATCACATAATTATCCATATTTGATTTATTTAATGATTTCTTGCAAAACAATTTATCAATTTACTCAAAATAATTAATCAATTATCACATAAGGAAACAATCATCTTATTAATTGATAAATATCTTTAATTAGATCAAAATTATAGTCAAATATATCATATAATCGGATTAATATTGATCTAACATGATAAGGTAACTATCCATAAGCAAAAACAGCAAGAAAACTCGAGATACCCTCCATCTGATGAGTTGACTCGTCGAGTCAGGCTTGGACTCGTCGAGTCTGCATGGACTCGGCGAGTTCAGCTATGGACTCGGCGAGTCCAGCCTCCAAAACACCAAAAAAAGAATTTTTTGAACATGTAATGCATCAATACAATTGAAACCAAGCTAGGCTCTGATACCACTGATGGGTTTTGGTCATAAGAACATCCTATGTGCTCATACAAACCCTAATGCTTGGATCTAGGTTTCTCTATTGTACATGCAAGTTATCCAAGACTATGAACCCTAATTCTAGCATTCAAGTAATCATATTAATATGTAATTAGGTTTAAGATCATACCTTGATTGTTATGTAGCAATAACAATCCCAATTCCTCCTTGAATTGACTTTGGAAAGCTTAGAGTCACAAATGTCACTCTTTTAATGGTTCACAAACACCCTAAGCAAGAGGATGAAGAGGAGAGAGGATGGAGGCTACCAAAAACGTGTAGAAACCCTAACAAGAAGCTTTTCCACGTTTTTGAGCCTTAAGGGGTCTTTATATAGTTGGGCTATTAGGGTTATCTAACAAGGAAACCCTAATTTGGATGCTTAAGCCCTAAGCAACCCATAGACTCCTTTTAATCAAGCCCTTGGTCGATTTCTTTATGGGCTTCCCCATAGAATTCGTCCACCCCTTGATTCAAGGCAATCCATGGCCCAAATTGTAATTATCTTATAATTACAATTCCAGTCCCTTAAGTTTAATTAATCTCTTTTAGTCACAAAACTAATTACCAATTAATTATTGACTAATATTAATTAAACAATATGATTTCTCCTTTAATATATTATTCTCATAATACATTAATAAATCATATTTAATCCTTACTCTCCATAATTCATCCTATCAAGTTACTTTGGTGAAGGCAACCCAAAAGGACCATGCATCATCGGGTCAAGTACATACCAAAATAGTTATAGACTTAGACACTAATCCAACAACTAATAGATAAAGTTGGAAAATTTATCCATTATGAAGCTATTTAGGATCTAGATATGAGGTTATGAGCCTTGTTCTGAAGAGATTAAGCACTTAATGAAGATTTTGGCCATCTGACCAAAAGTCACGAAATGGCATAAGATGTGTCAAGACGTAAATGTGTCTAGAATCACGATTGTTTTGTCGTTGCATTCTCACGAAGTGACTATGGAATGGTCACAACGTAACGTTGACTTTGACTAAGCTGACCATTGACTGTTTGACCAGTTTGACTTTTAGTCAAACTAGGGTAGAATTAAGTATTTGACTAAGGATTGGTCTCAGTTTTGTTTTAGGGAGTTTGGGTTGGCCGATCTGATGTTGAGGTAGCTGTTGGGCTTCTGTTGAGTAGTTCGGGTATGTCTCTTCACTGTACTCGTGGGTCGAAGGCATGAATATCGGCCCAATGGATTATAGTTATTTTTGTGACACTTTATGATATGCCTATATGTGCTTGTTGTCTTTGTGACTCTTGGTGATATGTATTTATGCTTTTTTATGTGGGGTGAAATAGACACAGTGGTTGTTACAGACCCGACACAACTACATGTTATATGGAGTCATTATGGACTCATGGTTGATTTGGACATGGGGGTTGTTACGGACCCGACACAGCTGCATGGTATTATACGGAGTCTCTATGGACTCGGGGTTGATACGGACCCGTGGGTTGTTACATAGCCGACACAGCTAGATGTTGTTATATATATATATATATATATATATATATATATATATATATATATATATATATATGTGTGTGTGTGTGTGTGTGTGTGTGTGTGTGTGTCGTATGTGTATTGTATGTATGTGTATTGTATGTGGTATTTTGGGGGAGAACTTACTAAGCTTTGTGCTTATGTTTTTGTAATTTAAACATTTTTAGATACTTCCATTTTTAAAAGAAGAGTCTGGCTTGATTGCACTGCATCCCCTGAAGATTTATTCTGCAATGATTGTTTATGATTTACTCTTATGTTTTGAGAATACTTTTACTATGATTGTCTTTTGGCATAATGTATGAATGGTTTTGACTTATTTAATATGAAAATTTTACTCAATATTTTTTGGACATTAAAAGTTGGTATCAGAGCCTTGGTTTGAGGAGGAGCGTGCAGTACTTGGTGTTTCTGATCATGTTGACACCCTGACCATGATCGTGGTTTCTAAGGAGAAGCCTACAAAGGAAGCGATGACACCGAGGCCGACTATACTCCTACAAAGCACCCGTTCGAGATAGCCCATTCACCAGAGTACAAGCTGGATGGGCTTAAGTTTCTTAGTTTTGATTATGAACTGTATGATGGCAAGGAGGACATTGCCACCTCATCGGAGATCTCACCACCCCACCTACTCCTTCACATCGATGCTACAAAGCACACACTGTTACTCAGGTGAAACAAACCCCGAGGAAAACTATTGTTGTTCCATCTTGAAAGAGAGTGGCATCCCCACCAGCATCACCACCACTAGAGAGGAGAGCATGTGGAGACACCACTTGGATGCCCTAAATCAGAGCCTGGAGGTAGGAGGAGGATATAAGCTCAATTTTCAAGGTATAAGAGTCCTCTACAAAACCCAATCCTACCCCAGACACACCGATCGAGAAGGATATCTCCCTCCTGGTACCATGGACCACCTGTCATTTGGAACCCATAGGAGCGACGAATTCCGAGCTTATTCATTTGAGAATGACACTGAGGCAGCTCACGAAGTGGGTACAATATTTAGAGTATGAGAAGGATGTGATGGAGATGAGGACTTTGATCATTCAGGACCAGTTGCAGGAGGTGATGGATGAGGCCCAGTTTCATCATTATATTTTGGAGGAGGTGATAAGTCACATGGATAGATTGGAGCTCCAGGTGGAGATGACAGAGTCACGAGTTTCTTTTTCTAATATTTGGATTAATTATGGGTATAGATAGTTGGTTCAGTTGATGGATCTCTTGATAGTTTACTATGGATACTAGTTTTCTTTTCTGTTCCCTAGATGATGGCTAGGAGGGATACTTATATTTTCTGGGTTAGAGTACTAGAAAAGCTCATTCATGTTTGTTTTGTAACATCATAGCTTTTCTTACTCTAACCACCCCTTGTTTCGATGGTCTTTCAATATGATATATGATGCGTAGTATACTTTCATAGTTGCATGAAATATGTGTTGTAGTATTCATGCTTCCATTAACACTAACAAACCACGACATAACCATGAGGGTACGAACTTACTAAATATGACCAATTGAATCACGTCTTGACACTAACTTTAGGAATTAGAAATGACACCCCCAAGAATTACCAGAACTAGCTAAGGTCTTCAACTTGAGTAAGATGCCCAGTATACTCAAAGTAACCCACCACTAGACTACACAGCTATTAAGGAAATGGTCGAGCAAAGGATAGCTGATGCTCTAGCCACACTTGTAAGAAATTGCCACAAAAACTATGGCATAGGAGCGGGAGGAGAAAGCTCCTAATTAAACCATCAAGGTGCTCAAAGGACGTGCACCTACAATGACTTTTCAAATTTCAAGCATAAAATACTCTCTAGGAACGTAGGGATCGTAGGCCTCACGAGATGGATTGAGAAGACTGAGTCTGTCTTTGAAATCAGCTCTTGCGCGGAAGAAAGCAAGGTTAAGTTCGTCGCTTGCAATTTCCAAGATGCAGCTATGTCTTGGTGGAATATCTATGTCAAGACCATGTATCTCGCAAATGCTAACGTCCTAACCTAGGAGCAACCGAAGCGAATGCTCATTGAGGAGTATTGTACTCGAGAGGATATGCAACAATTAGAGTAGGAGTTGTGGAACCTGACAATGAGCGACGCTGACATATCGACCTATACCAACAAGTTCAATGATATCGCAAACCTTTGCCCAAAATTCGTGAATCCCGAGTACAAGAAGGTGGAGAGGTACATATGGGGATTAGTTCAACCTATTCAAGGGTTGGTAACGACATCTCGACCATCAACATACAATAGTTCCAAAAGGTTAGCATACAACCAATCCAAAAAAGATATAAGACGAGACACTTTGGTCTAGAATGCTGACATCTTAAAGCGGATTCAAGGGTACCTCCAAGGAAGCTCCCATAAAGAGACGTGAAACTATCATGGAATACACGTCAGTCTTGCTCCAAAACCGACTACACCCCCCACATCCCAAGTACCTACATGGGTAAACTCCCGAAATGCAACCTATGTCACTTCCGTCACTCTGAAAACTGCATGCACTGTACCATGTGCAATCATAAGGGGCATACCGTAAAATATTGATGACAACCCACAAATGCTCCTACCGCCACAACCAAGTCAGGGGTGGCTGCTTTGCCAGACAATCAATCATGATTTGAGTGTAGGATTACTGGTCACATCAAGAGAAACTTCTCAAAGCTGAGGAACGAGGGAAGGTATGCCCGAGGAAGAGCGTGTGTGATTGGCACAAGGGATGCCATCCAGGACCCCACCATTGTGGCATGTACATTTTTTTGGATTAGTGTCTAAGTCCATAACTATTTTGGTATGTACTTGACCCGATTATGATCATGGTCCTTTTGGGTTGCCTTCACCATAGCAATATGTAGGATGAGTTTCAGAGAGAAAGGATTAATTATGATTTATTAATATATTATAAGAATAATATATTAAAGGAGAAATCATAATGTTTAATTAATATTAGTCAAGAATTAATTAAGAATTAATTTTGTGGCTAAAAGATATTAATTAAACTTAGGGGACTGGAATTGTAATTATAAGATAATTTCAATTGGGCTATGGATCAGCTTGGAATAATAGGTTGGATGAATTTTATGGGGAAGCCCGTTAGAGATCGTCCAAGGCATGTTCCAGAAGGGGTCCATGGACTGCTTAGGGCTTAAGCAGTCAAATTAGGGTTTCCTTGTTTGATAACCCTAATTGCCTAAGTATATAAGGAACCCTTGGGCACCAAAAACGTGGCTAACACTTTCTTTAGGGTTTCAAGCCGTTTTTGGTTCCTCCCCTCTCTTCCCTTTTCATCTAAGTTGCTTAGTGGTGTTTGTGACTCCATTAGAGGCGCAACATTTGAGGCACTAAGCTTTCTGAAGCCATGGATTGATTGTTATTGCTATATAACAATCAAAGGTAAAGATCTAAACCCTATTTTATGTTAATATGATTAATTGTATGTTAGATCTAGAGTTTATAGCTTTGGATATTCAATTGCATGTTCATTAGACAAAATAGATCCAAAAGCTATTAGGGTTTGCATGTACACCATAGGATTGATGTATTGCTCAAAACCCATCATTGGTATCAAATCCTAGGGCTCTTTGTTAGTGAATTTGATGCTTACTTGATTGAAAATTGCATGAAAAATGAAGTTTTTTGCCCTCTGCCTTGCTGATTCGGCGAGTCAGTGGATGAACTCGGCGAGTCCATGGATCTAACAGCGTTTTTTGGCGATTTTCTTGCTGTTTTGGCTTGGGATACTTACCATAAACTTTTTTTAATTCATAAAATCCGATTTTTATTGATTTTGGGTGAGCATCCTTACCAAAATTGAAGATTATTGTCAAATTTAGATAATCTTTTGTTTTATTAGATAAATATTGATTATTTGTAATTTAGATTTGAATTATCTTGTGAAAAAGTTTCAAATTACTCCCTTTTTAGGTTTTATAGTTTAAATTTGAACTTAAAAGTTTTGTTTTTGAAATTTAAATAAGTTAAACCCTAATGTTTTGAAAAGTTTCAAAACTTGCCCTCAAGTTTTAGATTTTAAATTTTAAATTCAAAGTCTTGATTTGAAATTTTAAATTATAAAACCCTAGTAATTTGAAAAGTTCAAATCACATCCTTATGGTTTTCTTAATTAATTAAAGTGTATAATTAAAAGAGATTTAATAAACCCATAAAGTTTTGGTTTAGATATAATTAAATTAAAATATAATTTATTAAATTTGACCACCTAGTATTTTAAAAGTGTAAAATACACCCCATACTATATATAACATTAAAAGTCTAATATTATATATATATATGTATGAGTAAACAGTCAGTCTTACCATTAGTAGGCCTCATTCACGAAGCTGGTCTATAAGGGGTGTTTAAGGAAATTGCTTATAAAATGGCGATTGAATGAGTATCCACTTTTACACACCACACTCTTGACTAGTGGAGGGTCGTTAGCCGAATAGGTAAGATAGGAAAAAAACCTTCCATTATAAGTATAATGAAGTACAAAGTAACTAAATGCTTTTATAAATTCCCAAATCATAGTTACTTTAGGAAAAATGTGAAATTGTATGCTAATCCATGGAATTACACTTCGTACCCTTGTCAAACGTTAGTGGAGTGTGTGTGGTTAACTGGCACACTAATTTGGGGTTGACATTGGTGGCGAAGGGTGACTCGATGTTTGTCATAGATCAATGGAGCGTGTGTGGCTAACCGGCACATTGATTGGGTTATAGTAGCATTGATTGCACCACGTAGATTCGTATGGTTATTCACACCTTGTTTGTGATCCACGGCATCCCAGTCGCAAACTTGAAGGGCATAATCGAGAGTAAACATGCAATTGAAAATGTTCAATGAATCTCAAAAGATCTAAGAGTTTCAATTCATTTAAAACTTAAATATATTTTTTGTTTTTCATGGTGGAAATTGGGAAATCATCGTTTACCTACCTTCAAATATTCTGCAAATAGATTACGACATTCCTCTTCTAGGTTGTAGAGTATTGTGTTGGATCCTAGCCTTAATAATTCATTTGGGTGTTTTATTAAGGACTCAATCAACTTAAATTGAATTTTCTCCTGTTTTGTAGATGTCTGAATTAAGCACGAAGATGACGTTCCAAGATACGATCAAGGAAATGAGATTCATGCTTCACTTCCTCCACCTCCTATGATTGTTCTCCCTAACCCATAAGTTCGAAGGCTTGAAAACTTCATGCTCAATCAAGCCCTATTGGCAATTAAGCATGAAGATGGAAAGTCTGTGTGTCCACACGTCTAAAGATGAAGTCACACATTGATAAGTTAAACATGTTGGGTGTCGAGATTTCAAGTGAGTTGGCTGTTGACTGGGTTTTTCAGTCACTTCCTGAATCATATACTGAGTTCATTAGAGAGTACTATAAGATGGACCACGACGTGACCCTCATTGATCTCACCTATTTGCTTATAGATGCCGAATCAACAATGATTTGGCATGCTGGTCAAGCAAATTTGTTTGGTGAATCAAACTCCCAAACTTCAATGGACATTGAAAATGATGATATTGGAGATCCAGAAAAGGTAAACTCTGAGATAGTCCCTTATGTCATTCCAAAAGAGTCCATTGGCTTTTGTTTCCAAGAGAAGGTGCATTGGAGACGAAGTTGCCTTGTTTACCTGAGAGATCTAAGTTATGGGAGAGGCAAGTTATATGGCGCTACTTCAGGTAAAATCCATTAACAAACTCTGTAAGTTCCTATTTTTGATTCTTAATAAATGATGTGATAAGATTACATTTTGATGTTTTGCAGGATCAAAGAAAAGAAAGGAAGCTTAAAGAAGAAGCTGCTGAATCAGATCACGAAGAAATGGATTTCGATTGCATGGATTCAAATATCGGATTTTTGAGCTGCTACTTTAGAGTTAGGGTAGATTGCTAAGAAATATGTAATAGCATAGTTACTCAGTTGAATTGCATTGTAAGGACAAGTTTTTCCGCAATAAAATAAATTTTGATTTTATCTTATTTATTTA